GTTCCACTCTGCACACATGGTGTCACCCAGTTCTACTGTGCACACATGGGGTCACCCGGTTCCACTCTGCACACGGGGTCAGCATGAGTCGGAATCAACTCAACAGCCACTAAGAACAACGACAGTCAACAGTGTGAAGCTTGTCCCGATTTCACTGGAGTGTGACTGTCTTTTATCATCTCTTAGTTATACTGATAACATAGTCTATCATGGCGTAGGTCTTTTTATTTATGATTTTAAAGTCTGTGTTACCAGTTTTCTTTGATACCTTGGTGGGCGTTATATTTCATACCGTACAGCTCAAATCCAAAGGGAAAATCTTCTAAGTATAAATGAGGAAAAGAGAAAGGTGTGACTTTCCAGGTCTGAGATGACGTGTCAGTATGAATCATTTCTTGTTCCGCACACCGGGGGTGCAGACTGGTATCACTGTATTATCCTCCATGGGTTTTTACTTCGCATTAATTTCAATCGTGCTAAAAAATGTAGATTTATTTAGCCCTCTGGTGCAAACGGTTTGCGCTTGGCTAGACTAAAGGTTGGCAGCTCGAACTCACCCAGCAGCACTGCACAAGAGAGGCCTGGCAGTCTACTTCCATAAAAATTACAGCCAAGAAAACCCCATAGAGCACATGAGGTTGTCATGAATCAGAATCAGCCTGACGGCAGTGGGTTTGGTTTCTTTGGTTTTTAAACCAGGGCATGGAGTCCTTGGGTGGTGCAGTGAATGCACTCGGCTGCTAACCAAAAGGTTGGAAGTTCGAGTCCACCCAGAGGTGCCTTGAAAGAAAGGCCTGGCAATCTGCTTCTGAAAAACCAGCTGGTGAAAACCTGTGGCCCACGGCTCCACTCTGACACACGTGGGGTCCCCGTGAGTCGGCGTGGAATTGACGGCAACTGGTTTTACTGATTTTACACCAGGGCACGCGCCTCACAGCCCCAGGAGAGACATTGTCCACAAGGAGACCTGTCTGAGGCTTGGACCGCACTTGGACAGATGTTCCACCCACACCCAGCTTTGAGGCTCTTTGAATATGGCTCAGTGAATCTTTGTAAATGTCTACCAACTAACAGGTAGATAATTATATCTCATCCCCTCGCATTAGAAATGACTTTGTAAAGCAAATCATTGACGGTAGTTTTGGAGATGAGATGGCAGGAGTCTGACTCTATCTAGAACCCATGCTTAAAACACTGCATCCGAGTACCAACACCTTGTCCTCTTATTATAACTTCACAGTTAGTGCTTCCGAGGACACAGCGTTCCCAAGGAGGTTAAGGATTGAGGAACGCATTAGAATTTTGTTGTTGGGTGCCTTCCAGTCAATTCCAACTCATACCAACCATACAGGACAGAGTAGAACTGCCCCATAGAGTTTCCTACACTATAATCTTTATGGGAGCAGATCTCCAGGCCTTTCATTAGAATTAACTCACCCAGCAGGGATAACTAGTTACTAGTACTTGGGAGCCTTTGGGCTCTGTGTTTGTAGGACTCTGGCACCCTACTTTCTGGGCAGTCCTGTCTATGTGAAGGAAACATACCTGCAAACATGTTGTTCCGTCAGTCCCTCACTATTCACAGTCCCAACTTTGGAGAGTCCCACTGGCATAGAGTGTGACTTATAAAAATATCAGCCACTGAGAGGCTTTCAGAAGGATGGACAGGAAAATAATTCGAGGGGAACAAGAGGGAATGGGGGTGAACAGAAACAGTGTGTGTGGTGGAGGGGTTGTTAGGTGCTGTCGAGTCAATTCCGACTCAGAGTGACCCCGTGTACAACAGAACGAAACACTGCCCGGTCCTGCGCCATCCTCACAGTTGTTGCTATGTTTGAGCCCATTGTTGCAGCCACTGTGTCAATCCATCTCGTTGAGGGTCTTCCTCTTTTTTGCTGACCCTCTACTCCACCAAGCATGATGCCCTTCTCCAGGGACCGATCCCTCCTGATAACATGTCCAAAGTATGTGAGACACAGTCTTGCCATCCTTGTTTCTAAGGAGCATTCTGGCTGTACTTCTTCCAAGACAGACTGTTCTTCTGGCGGTCCATGGTATATTATATTCATTTATATGTTATAGTATATTCAATATTCTTCACCAACACCACAATTCAAAGCCATCAGTTCTTCTTTGGTCTTCCTTATTCATTGCCCAGCTTTCGCATGCCTATGTGGTGATTGAAAATACTATCACTTGGGTCAGGCGCCCCTTAGTCCTCAAAGTGACATCTTTGCTTTTTTTGGGGGGTGGGGGGGCGGGGATTGTAGAGGTTTAATATTAAAGCAGAGGGAAAATGTAACGGGAACAATTCGTCTTGCCTTAATAACAAAAATAAGCAGGGGTAGGGGGAAAGTAGGGGCCAGGATTTGAGTCGGGATAGAAAGGGAGGAGAAACAACCGTCTGGACTTGCTTGTTTGGGTTGTTCCTGAACTCTCTGTCTTCCGGTGCCTCTTCACGTAATGCCTCTGCGTAACAAACCTTGACTTCAGCTCAGCCTCAGTACCCAAGGGCTCCAGCAAGTAGCTGCGGTGTGACGTTTCTGAAGGTGAAAGCAGCCCTCCGCTCCCAGCCTGTGCCTTGCTCCTTGTTACTATGTGAATCCCTTCCCTGACTGCTCATGTATTCTGAATCACTTTCTTTGGAAAGAACAAGAAAAAAAAAAAAAGTGTTCCAGGATGGATGGGCAGAGAAAGCTGTGTCACATGGGAGGACGTTTCGGTCCCTCCAGGAGTCACTGCCGCGGCCGCTTGAACGTGATGTCAGACATCTCACCTGTAGTTCCCGCACCGCAAGTCACCAGGGTTAGAAGACCCATCCTGGTAGCTGAGTGGGTCTTTCTTCCTCTGTCACACTCCTGAAATTTCAGAGCTTTGACTTCCTGCCTTGATATTCCAGCCAACATGCTCCTTTCTCTTACCCGCTCCTTATCCTTCCTGCTTCTGTTACGCCGATGATTTTGTAGAGGATTTATTCTTTTTTAAATAAAACCATCTTTGTTTTACCTATATTCCATCAAGTACCCATATAATCCCCTTGATTTCTACTCTTGCTGAGCTGCTGTACTGAATGGTTCAGCTTATATTCAGCCCTTTAGAGGTGAGAAGGAGACTTTAGTCCATTCCGACTCCTAGCGACCCTATAGGACAGAGTAGAACTGCCCCACAGCGTTTCCAAGTCTGTAATCCTTACACATGATGCATGCGTATCAAAGGACATCATGCTTGGTCAAATACAGGATCAACAAAAAAGAGGAAGACTCTCATCGAGATGGACTGACACAGTGGCTACAACAATGGGCTCAAATATAGCAACAATTGTGAGGGTGGCGCAGGACCGGGCAGTGTTTTGTTCTGTTGTACGTAGGGTCGCTGTGAGTCACAACCAACTCTGCAGCGCTTAAAACAACAACAAATCTTTACAGAAGCAGATCCGTAGGTCTCCCACGGAGTGACTGGTGGATTTGAACAGCCGACCTTTTGGTTAGCAGCCAAGCGCTGAACCACTGTGCCACCAGGGCTCCCTTTGTGACGTGTGAAGGGCAGTGTAAAGAGCAGAGAAGACACTACGATTCATCAGTCATTACTTCTCCAGAACTTCCTCAGCCCTGGTCAGAGGCAGCACTGTTGGCTGGAGGCTGGATCACGGACTTGTGGTCAGGGTTCTGGTTACAGCCCTGCCCGCTGGGTTCCTTTGAGTAAGAAGAGGCTCCTTGTGGGTCTTGGAGTCTGGGGTTCAGCTGTCTAGTTGTCTTTACTCCGTGTGGGGGGTGTGCAGAGAAACGGCCTTCTCAAGGATCAGGGTAGTGCGCTGCACGTGCTCACTGGTGCAGTAGGCCGTGCTGCTGGCTAGGACCGAAAACCTGCCAGCAATGACACCACAGCAGAATGGACATCATCGAGAGTCCCTGTAGATGTCCTGAAGGAGCCCTGGTGGCGCAGTGGTTAAGCGCTCAGCTCCTAACCAAAAGGTCTGTGGTTTGAACCCGTCGGCCGCTCTGTGGGAGAAAGATGTGACAGTCTGCTTCCCTAAAGATTTACAGCCTTGGAAACTCTGTGGGGCAGTTCTACTCTGTCCTATAGGGCCGGTATGGGTCGGAATCAACTCGAGAGTGGTGGGTTTGGTTTCTGGTTTTTGGTAGATGTCCTTAGGTGTTGGTGAGACTAGACAACAAAAATCCATGGAGAAAAGAAATGATTGAAGGCTCACATGGCCTGCAAATGAATAATTAGCATGATAACCAGATAACTAAGATGATAATATAAAGCTATAGTGTGTCACAGCTTTTAATCTGAAATTCCCAAGTCAGGGTCCCTTCAGTGGGAGAGATTTTGTGGTTATTCCCAAGGCGGGGTCCTTTCAGTGGGGGGACAGTTTGTAGTTATTCCCAAGTCAGGGTCCCTTCAGTGGGGGAGAGTTTGTGGTTATTCCCAACTTGTGGTCCCTTTAGTGGGGAGAGTTTGTGGTTATTCCCAAGTCAGGGTCCCTTAAGTGGGGGGAGAGTTTGTAGTTATTCCCAAGTCGGGGTCCCTTCAGTGGGAGGAGAGTTTGTGGTTATTCCCAAGTTGGTGTCCCATCAGTGGGGGAGAGTTTGTGGTTATTCCCAAGTTGGGGTCCCTTCAGTAGGGAGAGAGTTTGTGGTTATTCCCAAGTCAGGGTCCCTTCAGTGGGGGGAGAGTTTGTAGTTGTTCCCAAGTCGGGGTCCCTTCAGTGGGAGGAGAGTTGGTGGTTATTCCCAAGTCGGGGTCCCATCAGTGGGCAGAGTTTGTGGTTATTCCCAAGTCGGGGTCCCTTCAGTGGGGGAGAGTTTGTGGTTATTCCCAAGTTGGTGTCCCATCAGTGGGGGAGAGTTTGTGGTTATTCCCAAGTCGGGGTTCCTTCAGTAGGGAGAGAGTTTGTGGTTATTCCCAAGCTGGGGTCCCTTCAGTGGGGGAGAGTCTGTGGTCAGCCCCAGGCCCTCCTGACCTGTGTTTTCATCACGTGTCTCCCCCTGTCATAGGAAGAAGGCGTTGTGAAGGAAATCGACATCAGCCACCATGTGAAAGAAGGATTTGAGAAGGCAGACCCTTCGCAGTTTGAGCTGCTGAAAGTTCTAGGACAAGGATCCTACGGGAAGGTGAGTCTCTCCACCGCGGCGGCCCCTGCTCCAGGCTGCCACCATGAGTGTTTGCCAGCAGGGGCTGTGACAGGGACACTTTCTGAACCCACGGGACATGACTGAGCAGGCGCCCACTCGTGACTCGACTGAGTGAAAAGTGCGAGCTGGCCTCGCTGTATGCAGTTTACCACTCAGCCGTGCAAAGTGAGAACAGCTTCCACCCTTGAAAACATCACACACACGCTCACTCACACACCAGACAGACACACACACACTCACACACCAGACTCACACACTCACACACCAGACTCACACACTCACACACCAGACTCACACACTCACACACACATTCATGCATGTCCACACTCACAACTCTCACACACCACATACACACACACTCACATATTCGCATACTGTCTCACACATACACATTCATACACACGCACACACACATGCTCACACACACTTTCATACATACACTCACACACATATACACACACTCACACACACACTCTCGCATATACTCACATTCACACACATACTCACACACTCACTCTGGCACACACAGTCTTGTACATATACTCACATTCATGTACTCACACACTGCCCCATACACACACACACACACACTGGCACGCACACTCTAACACACATTCATATACTCACACAGTCCCCCATACGCACACTCTGACACAGTCTCACACATTCACACACTCACACATACATACGCTCACATTCATAGACTCACACACTCCCCCATACACACTGACACACACACATTCACACTCACACTCGTACATACACTTGCTCCCCCATACACACACACTCTCACACATTCACACTCACACACACACACTCACACACACACTCACACACAAACACACACGCTCTCCCCTCCCCTCATAGCCTCCCTCACATTTCAGTTCATCACCAAGGTGAGTAGGGGATTGAACTGGGCGAATGTATCTTTGAAAGCACCAACTCAACTGCCATTTTTAAAAAGAAAGAAAAAAATGAAAATAAATAAAAACCCAGAAAGGAGAAAGTGTTCCCTGGACTGTAACCGCTGGCACCCAGGAGTCGGTAGGCTGGGTTTGCACTCAGCCTTGTCTCTTGACCTCCACGCGGCTTGAGCAGGCCTTGCACCTCCCTGAGCCTTGGTCTTCCCGTCTGCAAAGTGAGGAAAATAAAAGCGCCTTCGCAGAAGTAGTGCACCTGCTCAGGAAGACGGGGCCACATCTGGCAGTCGCCCAAGAGGTCTGTGTGCGCTAGCACTGTCCACTTCCTTTCTTTTCCACCTTCAAATTACAGCCATAAAACCGAATCCTCTCAGGAAATGAGAAATAGCTGGCTCCTAACTTAGTCCCACATGCACGTACAACAGGGCACCGATAAATGCTTGCCAGCTGCGGTGATGTGTGACCTCTTCCGGGACGTAACTGTGAGGTAGAAATGCATAGGTTCTGACAACGTGACTTCCAGGACATCAAACAAACACACAGACCAAACCCACGGCCCCCGAGTCAGTTCCGACTCACAGCGACCCTACAGGACAGAGTATGTCCCATAGGGTTTCCAAGGCCGTAATCTTTATGGAAACAGACCGCCACATCTTTCTCCTGCAGAGCAGCTGGTAGGTTCGAACTGCTGACCTTTTGGTTAACAGTCAAGTGCTTACCCACTGCGCCAAAAGTGCTCCCTGAAATAAACCAGGAAACCCACAGCCCCTGAAGCGTGAGCAGAGCCTGGCTCTTTAAAGGAACCATCTGGTATGCAGACGTTCACCAAGTCTCTTCCATTCATCACAAGACTGTGTCCCAAAGGGAAGTGCACTGACGTGCTGGGTAATCCCTGACAGACCACACCGGTGTGACTGCAACATTTACCTTTTGGCGTGCTTACAAGGTAGCCTGTATGTCTGGCTTCTCTTTTTCTTTTCCATCTGGTGATGTTGTAAGGAACACGTTTAGACTGATGCGTATACAAACATATTAGACTGAACCATATGAAGTTACCCGTATTCAACCACTGTTGACCTGTGAACATGGCAGTTTAACATGGTTCACGTGGTTCGCTTGATACTTACTGAAGGAGGGAACTAACAATGTCAGGCTGCCACAGTGTGAATGTTGTTATGAGGTGCTGTTGAGTCGATTCCGACTCAGAGACCCCATGTGACAGAGTAGAACTGCCCCATAGGGTTTCCTAGGCTGTAATCTTTACTGGAACAGATCACCAGGTTATTTCTCCCAAGGAGCCACCAGGTGATTTAGAACCGCTGACCTTTCAGTTAGCAGCTGAGCACATAAACACTGCGCCACCAGGGCTCCTTCACAGTATGAATAGCCATTACTAAAGAATCGGAGGCAGAGCCAACGCAACGTGGTCCCAGGATGCCTGGCCGTTCCTAAGAAATGTCAGAAAATGAGAAAGGAGGCTAATTCCTTCTCTGAAAACCGTGATTCGGAAAGACAGACCACAGGGACCGTCGCCCTCCCCCCGCAGGGGGCCGTCTCCCTCTCTCTGCCTTTCGAAGACTTTGCCCACGTGTTGTATCTTGAGAACTAACTCACCCTGTGCAAGCACGTTATCAATGGAATCCTCTCAGCCCAGAGCGGAGGTGAGCTGGGTGTGCCTCATGGCGGGGCCTGGGAGTGTTTGAGGGGCGTGGGCTGACCAGCTTCCTTAGGGAGCAGAAGTTACTTCACTCTGCAAGCCCACCACCCCATCTCAGTGTGGGTGCTGGTAACAGGGGGGAGGTGAGAAGGCTCTGAGCCCAGCACAATCATAGACCCTAGGCTCGGGATTTCCATCAGTAACGCGGTTCAACAAAAGCTCTCCTTGAAAACATCCTCCTCAGAAACCGAGGGATTAAAAAGGAAAGGAGAAGAGGCTTTTCCCAATTCCCTCCCTCAGATTTCAAATTTTGAATTCCAGTTTTGCTGTAAAAGAGTGTTCTTTGGAAAAATGTGCTATAATGGCGTTTGGCGGAATCGCCTTGGAATGATAATGCTCCTAATGCTCCATACTTTGCCTTCCCAACCCTTCTCCCTTCTCATTCAGCCTGAGAGCGCCTCCTTCATTGGGTCTGTCCACACGGGGCTGCTTGTTACCAACACTTAATAAAAGCAAAACTGGTAAGAGGGGACAGTCTGTGTCTCCAGTGCCCCGCACCATTTCTTCCCGCATCTCTAAGCAGAAACGAGTCCCTCCTTATTCAGGACTGCGCCTCCTTTGCCTGTGCAGGAAAGGCAGGGGACAGCTGGATGTGTCCTTCTGCACAACACTGCTGTTGACCGTTTCCACCTCCTGCCCCTGCTCCAAAGAGCAGAGAGCTGGCCTCAGGCTGGGCCCCCAGGTCTCCTGCATGGACCGCCGGGAGCAAAGCCCACTAACGGGGTCATGCTCATCCGCTGCTGCGTCCTTCCATCCCTCCTCTCATCCACTCCATGACTGTGGACGCTGAATGTGCAAAAGTGAAGGACACTGTGTCACTCTGTCCCTCCTCTCGTCTACTCCATGACTGTGGATGCTGGGTGTGCAGGAGTGAAGGCCACTGCATCCCTCCATTCTTCCTCTCGTCCACTCCATGACTGTGGACGCTGGGTGTGCAGGAGTGAAGGACACTGCATCCCTCCATCCCTGCTCTCATCCACTCCATGACCGTGGACACTGGGTGTGCAGGAGTGAAGGACACTGCGTCCCGAAGTCCCTCCTCTCATCCACTCCATGACTGTGGACGCTGTGTGTGCAGGAATGAAGGACACTGTCCCTCTGTCCCTCCTCTCATCCACTCGATGACTGTGGATGCTGGGCGTACAGGAATGAAGGACACTGTCCCTCTGTCCCTCCTCTCATCCACTCCATGACTGTGGATGCTGGGTGTACAGGAATGAAGGACACTGTGTCCCTCTGTACCTCCTCTCGTCCACTCCATGACTGTGGATGCTGGGTGTGCAGGAGTGAAGGACACTGTGTCCCTCCGTCCCTGCTCTCATCCACTCCATGACTGTGGATGCTGGGTGTACAGGAGTGAAGGACACTGCATCCCTCCATCCCTCCTCTCATCCACTCCATGACTGTGGACACTGGGTGTGCAGGAGTGAAGGACACTGCGTCCCGCAGTCCCTCCTCTCGTCCACTCCATGACTGTGGATGCTGGGTGTGCCAGAGTGAGGGACACTGTGTCCCTCCATCCCTCCTCTCGTCCACTCCATGACTGTGGACACTGGGTGTGCAGGAGTGAAGGACACTGCATCCCGCAGTCCCTCCTCTCGTCCACTCCATGACTGTGGATGCTGGGTGTGCCGGAGTGAGGGACACTGTGTCCCTCCATCCCTCCTCTCATCCACTCCATGACTATGGACGCTGGGTGTGCAGGAGTGAAGGACACTGTCCCTCTGTCCCTCCTCTCATCCACTCCATGACTGTGGACGCAGAGTGTGCAGGAGTGAAGGACACTGTCCCTCTGTCCTTCCTCTCGTCCACTCCATGACTGTGGACACTGGGTGTGCAGGAATGAAGGACACTGTGTCCCTCTGTCCCTCCTCTCATCTACTCGATGACTGTGGATGCTGGGTGTGCAAGAGTGAAGGACACTACGTCCCTCCATCCCTCCTCTCGTCCACTCGATGACTGCAGACGCTGGGTGTGCAGGAGTGAAGAAAAGGCAAACTCCGCCACTGGGACCTCACTCCTGACCCCAGAGCACTCCAAGGAGCCACAGATGGCTTCTACCACCTGTCTCCTCCCTCCCCCGTTGAGTCCTTTACTCACGTTCTCCTCAGGCACTCCTCCTCTTCTTCAGCCACAGTAGGGTCATCTGTTCCTGTAAGGGAGCCACACTAAACCCCAAGGGAAATGCTGCTCTGATGCTGGGATTTCTTACAGGGGACATCTGCGGGGCAGCAGCCCCCCACAACCCAGCGTACTGTACCCCCCAGAGACAGTGGTGTGTGCTGTCCTACCTCTAGGCCCGTCCTATAGAGCCTAAAGCACAAAGGTGGCACTTTGGCAGT